CAGGATTGTTCTTGGTTTTCGTCACAATTATTCGCCTCAGGTTCGGTGAATATCGTCAAATAATCCCCGAGACGAAGTCGAAGGGATTATTCGACAATATTCACCGAACCTGAGGCGAATAGTTGTTTTAGTATAATTTCAGAGCTGAACAACAGAGAAATTTCTAAAATCATAACATTTTAGTAATATTTATTAACATTTTATATAAACCGCGTGCAACGGTTTACATAGCGTCATATAACGAACCCCTCGACCAATCAGATTGCTGGAAACTCTTTGCTCAGCTCTGAAATTATACGAAATATATATATATATATATAGGGTGCTTAACTTGTATAAGTTCTTTCCGGTTAACGGACTTGAATAAACGGATTTCATTTTAACCGCGGTGTACTACACCTGATACCATTTCAAGCGAAGCGATAAATAAAAAAAAAAAAAAAAGCAATCTGCATTCACTGCTGTGTAAACATACTGTTTCACGTCTTTCTGAAGCGTCGCCAAGAGGAGATTTATCCTTTCTTAGGGTCGTATGCTTACCGATAGTGATACGAACGTAATTAGATCAAAGTTGTTTTAACATCGTTACGCCCCAAATTCCGGCATATATAGCTGTTTCGAGAATAGAAAGGTTGTCGAAAGCGTACATGTGCACGCAAAACTCCAAAAGGTATTCTGGTTAGTTTTAAGGTCATGTTTCCTTGACGTCATGACTTCAGGGAAAGATTGGAGATTTAATAGCACTGCAGGTGGTAAATGACTCGGAACCGGTTAATGAAGGCTTATGGGCTCCTGACAGTATAAAAAACGCCGCTGCTATTTTTAAATAAGTTTATGGTAGAATTTGGGGAATTAAAATCAAAATTTTCAGTTGGTGCTGATGTGTGCGCTGTTACGTTACATATTAATCATCGCTTTTTTGAGGTTTGATGATTTTTAAAGATCTTACTTAATAGAAAAAAAGCACTTTAAAGGAGATTTAAATAATAACAACGGTAATTGAAAAAAGAAGAAGACGACGACGACGACGACGACGACGGACAAAAAGAAGAGTAGTGAGAGGAAAAAACAAAAAGGACGTATCATAAAGAATTAAGAAAAGGATTGGTATATAATATATATATATGTGATGAACCAAAGGGGGAATCCCCAAATTCCCCGTGAAGGACTTGGCACTAGTTTCCCTTCTTAAGCTTCCATCAAGCGAAGTCATCGGTAAACAGGTTGACGAAAATTCAGTTTCTACATCAAACAAATCATAGATTATTGCTTCAGCACACGACGACAATATGGGGAAACATCATAAGGTATCAGTCTCCATTAGAAACTATTGCTGTATATTAGCACTGCTGCATATTTTGATATTTGATTCAAGTTTCAAGTCATAGAAATTGTAACACGCTACAAATATCTTACCATTATATTTACGTTAAAGGGAACCCACAGCACTTAGCTAAATAGGTTGATAGGAGTTCATATGAAACTTTCTGATCCTCCAGAAGACAGTCGGAATGTTTTTGCGTTTGAAGATGGGAGAAGCGAAGTGAAACAAATTAGCATTATACGTAACTTATTCAAGGCTGTGTAAACCAGAAGTAACGCTAAATATTGCTTAACGTTTATCAGTTGTATCGTTATTGCACCAATAATAGTAAAATGTATGTTCTGCTTAATACATATACATGTATAGCTGACGATGACTTCTTAGAGAGTTCGTGGATCATTATTGCCTCCATTAGTCGACACCTCGATATTTGAGGACCTCTTTAAGTTCTCCTCCAGCGTTACCCTTCCGTTTTAACTTAAACAACGTTAATGTCACATCGCTAGACTTCAGTGCAGTGGTATCCTTCTTACCTAATTGCAGGAATCATTACTTCCTACAAGTTCAAAAGGTATAGCCCTCAAAGGAGATCCTATTTACACGATAAAATTTGACAAAGTAAAGCTGTCTATTTGGTGGTCTACAAAGATTCTGGAACTTATCAGGACGTTTATAGCCATAGCCTTCATAACTCGCTTTGTAAGTGGAAACTGAATTCTTCCTTTACCGATTTGAATGTTTCATAAATTGAAGAACTTGACGTAAATTTACACAAGTCTTGTCGCAACAACTACAACTACATCATCCTACTCACGCCATTTTTAAACAGGATGTTGTGGTATTTATTTTAAATAGTCTTTTGCTCAATTATATTTTTATTTCGCCACTTAGCGACTACTCGTGGTCTGATTACGCTCTGAACATCGCCTACCCTCCGAACTTGTAATTTACAAAGCGATTCGACCGGAGACAAGGAATTTATCAAAGGATCTCAATCACTCGTGATAATCACGAGACCGTCCAAATTTAGCGAGGATGAATCAAAGGGCAAAGTACCATTTTCAAAATCACCGCTCGTCATTCAATTGCGATTTGTTGGCGCTCGGAAAATGGCGAATCATTAAATCCCATTTACTTTCTTTTCTTAACAACTGAACGATGTATATAATGTAATTAACAATTATTCCACGAGCGCGCGTTGGATATGAGATGATAGATAGCCAACGAGGCGCCTAGCGCCGAGTTGGCTATAATTATCTCATATCCAACAAGCGCGAGTGGAATAATTGTTTCATTAAAAACGCCCCCAAGAAATTATTATTTTGTAAGAAGAAACTGGATTTTTTAGCTCCCTTTTGATTTTAAGCTGATGCGTACGCTTACCATATTTGTAGATTATGGTATATTGGCTGATATACCATAATGGCTAAGCCAATAAAAAGTCTTGAATTGCATTATCCAATGATCCAGTTTTTAATAATAATATAATATGTAATATAATGTATGTATATACTGTGAGCCACAAACTGCCTTTAGTTTACTGAGGTGACATTTGAGATTAGGTTCTTCAAAACAAGTTCAGAATCTTAGTAAACTGAAATCATTTCTAGGGTATAATCTCTAGCTGGTTGTTGATTTGGAATCTTTGGAACCTTCGTCAAGATAACGACAATCCAGATGGAAAATGCCCGGCATCATCCTACCAGATTCTTGGCAAACAGAATACGACGGTTGGATGCCAACCTTGCTCCGATTGTCCACCAGGACGACAACTAGCTCCACCATGTGGAAGCAAAATACAGCAAAACACATTGATAGTTTGCACTGAATGCCCATCGAAAACCTATAAAGATAGCCAAGGTCGAAGCATATGTCTACCCTGCCAGAAATGTAGTCCAAGACAGACCATCAGTCCATGCAAAGCTTGGAAAAATGCACGATGTGGACACTGCCCTCGTGGGACGTATCCCTGGGACGACAGAGTAACTGCTTGCAAAAGATGCTCTACCTGTTGTGCACCCAAACGCGTTGCTGAAATGGTGTGCACTTATTTAGGGCAATGCTTAAGAAAAAACTGCACCAAAGAAAAAGATACCAAGAAAAAAAATTTGGCTGTAAGTACCCGCCAAAGGCTTAGCACGCCCAGGAGATGGACACCCTCAATCTTTGGGCCACTTCAAAATGTTCAGAGCAGTGACACTTCCGAAAACCCATCAATATCGGAATTCAAGATGTTCAAAAGAACGAGAGTTAGACGTGATATACAGGAATCCCAACATAAAGTAAATGTTAAGTATGCTACTAAAATGGCCACTGAACAAACTTCTCAACCTCCAAACGTTTCGCTTACTGTTGTAGCTAACACCAACTACTCAAAGCAGCACTTTGGAACTGCCTCCAATGACATGAATGCTATGGAGCTAAAACTTCACACGGCTGCAAGTTATTTTGGACTAAACTTCACAAAACTTGTGATTGTTCTAATTGTACTGGTAGCCATACTAATTTTGGCGCTGATTTCAGAAATAGTGATCATAGCATATTGCTGCTGTTGTAAAAGACAGAGTAGTTGGGAAGTTATTTGTTGTCCAAAGATAAATCTGACGAGTGTGGAGGAACGCAAGCCGTTACTGGGAGACAAAATATATCAAAATGGTAAGAAATAAACTTGATAAACAAAACGACATACATCAAGGCTTAATTTTGGAATGAAAGAAAAATAATTACCAGATTGACAAAAAAAAACAAACTTGCACCATTACATCTACTACTAATTGCAGCAAATCTCCTACATCATTCATCAAAGTCCTTTAATTTACCTTGTGTTATCACAAACATAATAGTTAACTTTACCTAAGTAATAGAAATAATTTATTATCAAGAACATCAAGGGGGGTGCACTATACGCATAAAGGGTACTGTGTGGTTCAATAAGTGCAATGACTTGGAAAGTTAATTGTTTTTAATATATAATTTACAACAATTGGAGGTTATTCCTGAGACTTTGTTTGCATTTAATAGATTCTTCATGCTCATTCAGGAATAGCAACACATTATAAACAAATAATAGCTCCATCTGACTAATATCGTTTCGCGAGTTCAAGGCACCCTAGCTCTCAAACCTAGGGCCAAGGACCAAAGACCAAATCCAAAACCTTTTTTGGGACAATCAGTTTTATGTGCATGGGAGTAAGATGTATTTTTCAAACTTACTGAACACCTGTGTTAGAGTAAATCAATTATAGGAAAACAAACAAACAGTCAAACAGAACCAAAATAACTTCTTGCAAAAAAATTATATGGGCAAACAGGAAAAGTCAAAACTTTCTCTGTGCAAGCACCAATTTGCAAAAATTTAGCCTTAAATTTCCTAAACAAGGGGATGTATTTTAACAGTGTCTTAAAAAAATATATTATTCGTGAGGTTCTAAGCAAAGTGAATATAAGTTTTATTTACTTGTATTATCTTTGCTGTTGTTTTACTTTTTTTCCTAGGTCTCTGCCAAGAAGTCACTATCAATAGTCATTATAGCAATTTGGAAGGCACACTCTATAAGGAATACACACCTTCTGACCTTGAAAGTTAGTGTCCATAATCTCACAATAGGGTGCTACCCTTTTAAACAATAATGCACTAAATTAAATGATTACTATAATTATCAAAAACAAGTGTGATGATTTAAACCTTTTTTGTAAAGTAAAAGTGATTATGAATCTTTTAAGTTACTGAATAGAGCCCATAGTCACAGTCTTTAATAACCCACACTTAGTTCAATTAATTTTCTTGACAAAATGTTTCTCAATATTATATTGCAGTTGTTCGTTTGTCTGACATGTCACCTCATCTTGAGGACATACTCATAAAGATACTTGAAGTGCAGTACCATGGACAATATGGCTGGAAAAAAGTGGGCAAAGCAGTGGGGATTAGTCAGGATGATCTCAATTATTGGGAAAACTTCATGTCCCTGGAAAGTCCAGCTACTGAACAACTGTTAGAAACACTCAAAGCAAGACATCCAGAATTTACAGTTGATGACCTAATACGTACACTCAAGAGCCCAGAAGTACAGCTTCCAGATGTTGCTCTACGTATTCATCAACATTTGCAAAGTGCAAGGAGGTAAATTCTGCATCTCGAAGAGGAGACAAAAAGGACCAGAAATGTGCAGCCATGCATGCAGTAGATGGTAATAATACTGAGAATTACGTGTTATGCAGCATCTACCTTACAATAAATACTCAGAGTAGACATGATTTTGAGAAGCTTGAATCAGAGAAGACACTGCGGTTCACTGTGTGAATTGTGTAAGGGCCAATCAAAAGGTATAACTGTAAACAACAGCATTAAAGCCACGCCTTTTTCCAAAAACGTTTGGTACAATTCAGGAGTGTGGCTAACTTACAAGAACACCTGGAAAACATGCCTCAAATTTGCATAAATTAACACTATTCATCTAAAATTAATTTTGTTTGTTTAAGAAACTAATAAGAACTTCATAAAAATTAACATTTCAAGTACATTTGAGAATTGTTTTTGACTTTTTGCATTCAAATCCTAAATTCTTTCAGAGGTAAAAGAGAACAATTCATGCAAATTTACAACCTGATCACACAATACTCTACAGGGAATTCTAAGACTGGGTACAACACTTTTGTGTAGCACTACATGTACATGGTATATCTAAAAAGTTAGAATAGATGACTCTATGTACATCTATATTTATTCAATGTAAATACAGTACAAAGCATGCAGCCTATGCACCTGATATAGTGGTTTATTAATTAATATTAATAGCAATTTGCTGAGATTCACATTTTTGTAAAAGGGGTTAACGGAATTGAAAATAGAACAAATAAAAGCAATGAAATATCAAAACAGCTATTGGCAGCATTGATGCAACAAGATAGATAAAAATCATCTCATTTAATAACATAACTAAACCAGTTGTGAAATTAAACCTATAAACTAAGCTAAAGATTGCATAAAAATAAAAATATTGCTTAAAGTATACATTCTACAAACCCTAAAGCAATTATTTTCTACATTTTTCGGAGAAATAAAAAATATAGAAAACAAAAGAAACAAACAAAAACTTTTTTGTATTGTTATTACCATTTTTGTATGAGTATTTTGATGCTTGTAATGACAGTGCAGACTGGAATTTAAGAATTTTAACTTTATTAATTTTCTTTAATATCTTCTAAGATATAGCCAGCTGTATTTTTATGCTTCACAGTATTATTTTCTTGAAGGTGAAACCCTTTTCAACATTCAAGATTTGTAAAGAAATGTATGAACATAAAAATGTATTGTACAACTAAACAAATAAGTCTGTAACACCACACCTTTTTTAATAAAATATTTTTAAAAATCTATTCATATTAACTGGTAATGTCAAGGGAGCTGATACAACATTCTACTAAGAAATGAGTTTCATTTTGTTCAGCCCAGTATTTTTAAGTCCTACATTAAAACAACCATTACAAAAACTGGTATCAGCAAGTTTTTGATAGAGTTAACAATTAGCCTTTTCCACCAATTTTAAACTAGGTATATCATGGAACAGTCTGACGGATTCTGTTAAAAATACAACATCTTTTTCATCTTTTAAATCTGCCCTCAACACATTTTTGTTTTGGAAATTTTATTCTTGACTTATTTTCTGAGCAACTGTACCAACCTTTCAACTAATTCTCAATTAATTGTTTCATTTAATAATAATTATAAATAATAATTGGACATTTATAATGCACAAATTCCATAAAATGTTCAAATGCACATATTATATGATTACATATATTACATTACATTTATTACTGTTATGAGAAACATTTTATAGGTATCACCTAACTCACTATTTTTCTATACAGTAATGTGAGTGCATTGAGTTCTCTAAATGTGCCCAAAAAACCTGTTATTATTATTATTATTGTTATTATTATTAATATTATGCATGTGTTACTGCAACATGTAAAATGAGGGTCTAAAAGTTAATGATGATCAATTGCAGTAGGAATTAATGAACAATATTCACAATCTTAAGAGTGTTGCAGGCCACATAAACCTTCAGTGTACGTGTGCACGATAGTGAAGAAAATGTGCTTGACACACACTGTTCACAAACTCCTGCATAATCTGGATTTAACTGGTCAAAACTTTTAAAATGCTCTTCCTTAGACAGTCGTGTAAAGTTTTCGGATCAGACTACCCCTAAACATTGTGATGTAACATGCGCAAAAAAGGAAAAACTCTGCCCCTGCCCTTTTGACAAATGCACCACTGGTACATTATACATGACCCTCTGTAAGACGAAAGATGAATTGCTTTTATTTCCTTCAGTTTTAAGAAGGTGGCTAGTATGGGCTGCGAAGTCCCTGTCATACTGTTTTCGTCTAGCTCGGTCAAAATTAGCATGGCTGCTACCTTTAGCAATTTATTTGATATCTTAGATACATTTAATTATATACATACAAATAAGAATACTCGCCTCAATGTTTCATTTGTTACTTTGTGGTTTGTTTTGTCTTCCCTTCCTCTTGTAGAATGTGTGACTGTTCGATCAACTGTAAAATTATATTTCAACGTAGTTTCCACCGTCATTTCTGTCAGCTCATCAATAATAATAATAATAGTAATATCAACATCGCGGTCAGATGTCGCGCATGCACAAGGGATGTGATCAAGTTTGGCCTTCAGCCCACCAAATTCCCGTGCAAAATTTCTAAAGAAACAACTGCTATGTATGTCATGCAATTGGGAAAAATAGAAGCAAAGGAAAAGGAAAACCCGAGACACAAAGCTTCTTGTAAATTTTTCGTTCAATATTGAGCTTTTTCAAAAGTTTATCGGTTTTTCAACACCATGACTTATTAGCTTAGGCAGTTTTTTATCACCCCGTAATAAGACAACTTGGTTCTTACAGCGTGAAAGCATGCCACCCAGCCAATGCAACATTCATAGATTCTTGAGTGGCTAGGATTGGGGTTGTTTCTACCTCTTGTATGAGAAAGCTTCACACAAATAGTACAAAGAGTTGAGAGAGTTATGCAATCATAATCTAGAAAATTAAGAACCTTCTTCTTGGAACTTTCTTTTTATTGCCTATGCTCTTGTAGCTCTTTAACACCACCCTATACATAACATTCATTTTGATCAAAGTTAATGATCATGTGTCAGGTGAAGAGGGATGAAAAGAGTTTACTCTACCAAACTCTAAGTGTGCATCCCTGTTTTACAAGTTTAGTGCAATCTCCAAACCTATCACACTTCACACATTCTTCTGTGTTGATAGGAAATAAAAATACACTTATAAATTATTACAAAAACAAGTAAGACTGTTTACAGCTTTGAATAACTGCCCTTTGAATAGTTTCATCTAAAACAAAAGTATTGGCTCTCAGAGCTCTCTGCAGTGGCCAACAATCCAAGCGCCCTCCCCAGTGCTTCCGACACTTTCTTCAAGGAGTATTAATGTTCAACCACTATACTAGACTAAAAGACCCTACCTTGAATATGTGTGTACAACTTATTTTTTTAATTCAGTATGCCTTGTCAGACCAAGGTCACAACATTCAAAGTTACCCCATCTGTACTACTAAAATCATCACCATCCCTACTACTCATATCAAATGTGATCTCCAAACCAATTTTGAATACACATGAACTCACCTTACATATCCCACCACATAGAGTTAAAAAAAAAAGTACCCCATACTCCATTGACAAGGACAAGGGTTCATTTCTTTGAATACCCACCCAAAAAGTAGGCTTCCACAACCTGTAATCAGTGTGGGATCATCCACACTTTGTTCGAAGGCTACACAACATATTTTGATTATGTAAGTAAGACTAGCTTTCCCTTAGCTCCTTTGCTTTCTATAATATCTCTGTGTGCCTCTGATGCTTGGTCTAATGAGTATTCATGTCCAACAACTGGACTGAGAAATCCTGCATAGAGCCCAGCCGCTATTGCTGCTGTCATTTCTTGTTTCTCCTCCTAAAAAAGCAAAAAATAAAAGAAAAATAACCAAAAAATTAAATTTACAACTTTGCATTATGTTGGAATGGGAGACCAGGCAAAAGCTTTACATCCAAGTCATCAGCAGTTCATTTTGTTACACCATTGGGCGAGACACTTAAATGGAGCCTCTCTCCAAGAAATTGTTAGGAAGGCTACTGGAGACCATCAAGGCAGCCTGATGAAATGCTGAAGGTTCCCTGCAATTAGCATCTCATTCAGGAGGGATGGAGGTTGGCACACCTCCTTGGGAGAATCATACTACTGAAACTGGGCAAGGCTCTGTCAGGAAGTACTACTTGGGTTGACCCGACTCTCGCTGACATACCCATCCAAAAGAAAATGTGAGAAAGGTGAGAGAACAAACAAGGGGGGACTGAGGAGGGGGAAGGGTGGACTCTCACTTGTCACTTTTCCTCAAAATTCTGCCAATAATCTCTTGCCCATTTGTGTCCAACTACTCAAAAAGCTGGCTCAGACATAACTCTCCCTGGCTGGCAATCAATTACCTTGATCTGAAATGCTTTTTAAGATTTTAAGAAGTAAGAGGGCATGTGCCTAATTTTTATGTATTATTTCAGAAAATTGTGGCTTGAATGAAAGGTTAAAATAAAGTTATCTTCAAAATGCATATCTTACCTCACTAGCTTGACCTAACATAACACCAACAATACTGGATTCCTTAGCCATGGTTTCTCTTGGATTTATTTCAATTGTACCTCTATTGCCAACAACCTGAAAAGTTCACACCAAGACTGATTTCAACCATTAATTTACTTTTTTTTACTAGGCTGACACACCATTACAGCAATTATAGAAAAAAAAACAATCATTTTGTTCTTGCACATTTTCAAGGCTAACTGCACTCCTGACTGACAGATGGATGGTTAACTGGAAGGACAGATTTGCTGACCTGTGGTCTACCTGACTGACAGACTGTCTTCCTTACCAGAATGACTGTCTGACTGACTGAATAACTTATAAAGACTGATATTGATTGATTGATTAACTTGTTTATTTATCAATCCATTGATAAGTTCATTGATCAATTGGTTGACTGTTTGATTGATTGACAATTTAGGTTGTTTCAAAGATTGATAGATTGATTGATTACCTGACCAGTCAATGGAACCATCAACTAACTGATTGATTGACTGATTAGTGATTAGTGATTGACTGATTTATGACGACTTGGTAGTCAATTGTCACAAGCAAGGCAGACATACCCCTATGCGCCCTTTACTTGCAACAAGTTGAAGATCTTTGGCCAAACTGACATTTGCCAGCATTTCTACAATAACGTCTGCACCACAACCACCAGTTGCATCCTGTTGGAAATTACATCAAATATTTTTATGAAGACCAACTTTAAAATTTAGGACGAATAAGTCTATGATTATTTGTTGCACGTACAGTATATTCAATACACATGAACAAACTTTCTCAAAAGGTACAGTTTAAAACAGTATATCAAAAGTTAAATGTTGATACCAAAATTCTTTGAACATATCCATCTTCTCTGTGATTGAACACTTCTGAAGCCCCTGCCTGTTTCACTGCCACTTCCCCTTCTGCCGTCCCTGCTGTTCCTAACACCTTTAATCCATAAGCCTTGGCTAGTTGCACCGTAGCTATGCCAACCTGAAGTCGTTATATTAGGCAAAAGTTGTTACATTTACATAGTTACCTAATAGTATCTAATACTCTACCAAAATAAAAATAAACTTTATATTCACTGAACATCAGTGCTAAGGGTTATTCTCTTATAAAGTCAAATCTCATGTGAGGGACCACCCAAAGTGTGAAGTCTAGTGATCGCTTAGGGGGTGGTGGTTGCTTACCAGTGGTCAGGCCACAGGGGTCCATATTTTGGGCAATTTGCATATGTTGACCAGACCCTTTCACCAGCATTTATCGAAACATATAAGGGGAAACAACTGCAGTAGCTCCACTTTTATGACATCTGTTGAAACAATTTTCAGTTTCTGTTTGTGAGGGTTAAAGCAGATTGTCTGTCAAGCAGTCACTTACAGGAGGTTAAAAACAATTGAAAGTTGTAAACAAGCATCTCTAAAAGTGGTAGCTTATGAGAGGTCATCACTTACAAGAAGCCATTGCTTACAAGAGGTTCCATTTACAGTGATTTGAATTGGAAACTTTGTGTATTTTTAAAACCTGGGTCGCTAACAAGAGGTAGTCGCTTACGAGAAGTGGTCACAAAGGGAAGTTGGACTATAGCTGTATTATAAAATTCAAATTTCCTTACAAAGTAACAGTTGAATCCCTACTGAAAAAGATTTATGATATATATCAGAAGTAAACCAAAATCTTGTTGATATGGGAACCTATTTGCTGCAAGGTTGTAACTGCCATATTAGAAAAAGAAAAAACTTTTTTCGTGGAAAATTTCCAATCAGGCATCAGAACCTAAACAACAAACCATAACATACAGTTGGTACATTGAGGTTTTGATGTTTGCCTGCATGTCTTAAAAATATTTATGATAAATACACAATTGAGTAGCATGTCAGAATCAAATCAAAACATTCATGGTTTTCTATTTTTTTCCACTAGGCAGCTTAAGCAGGGTAAAATAATAAATCATACATTTTTCAAGACAAGCATGGGATTGCATGGTTTAACCAACACAGACTGATATCAAAATACAAAAGAGCAAATTAATAAAAACATTGTTGTCATTGATCTTCTTTTAAACTTGACAGTTCTAACATTTTTTTATATTCAAAAGAGTTTCTGATGTACATACTCCTCCACTTGCTCCATGGACTAAAACTGTTTCTCCTGCCTTTCCATGTAATCTGCAAAACAATTAGACACATGAACAATAGGTAATCTAATTATTTCAATTTCTTGAGTATAATTTATAATCATGTTCATTTGTTTTCTGTTCAGTTAAATGTTGGTCTTCACAAAAAAAAAACCCAGTATCTCAATTTTGTGTTTCCCAGTCCCTTGAGGTTTAAGAGTGTATAAAATGATTGGCAATAGTATGACTGCTTTTCAATATAATTATTTTTATCCAGTCATACCTGATTCTCAAAAATATGTTTCAGACAGTATTACCTTATATCCTTCAACCACTGTTAATTCTCATAATGATCTTATCAATTTTTTCTAAGGAAACTTCCTAAATTCTTTAATATTGTAATTTGCACACCTTTGTATTAATGCTCTGTAAGCGGTATAATATGGCACATAAATAGCTGCTCCCTGACTAAAGGAAATATTCTCTGGCAAAAGATGCACATTGCTACTGTTACACAGAGCAAATTCTGCATATGTTCCTGTTATGCTGCCACAGACATAAACACGGTCTCCTTCCTGGTGAAACAATAAGTAACAAATATTTAACAATTATTGGACAAGGTTGAGCAAAATATCGTGATTTGTCCGTGGCGAGCAGATCAATTATTTGCCGAAGCTGAAGGCTAAGGCAAATAAATGATCTGCAAGACACAGACAAATCACGATATTTTGCACTAACCGAGTTCAATAATTGTTTTATCATTTCAGCACCGACTTTGTTTTCAATTTTTTGGGGGAAGGGGCAAGCGAGTTTGTTTTCAATTTTTTGGGGAAGCAGCAAGCACACAGTGCTGCCAGAAATCAAATGGTTTCCTTCTCAGTTAAATAATTTATTCTGTCAACTTTAAATTGTACCTACAGTCAACTGTTAATTAACAAAAATGTATGCCTTCAAATGGCTGAAACTTCCAGGAACAAGTTCACAGTCTTCAAGGATTTGAAATCCAAAAAAAAAAAAACGGGAAAATGTATTCATTGATGAATTAGCTTCAACACAATCTCTGAAAGTTCACTTTAAAAGTTGAAAGTGCAGTTGTAAAAATTATTAACTGTCTGCTGCATGTTAGATTGCTCAATACTTGGCTCATTTAGAATATGCTCTTCCTGAGAGGCTGTGAGAAGCAGTTGCGGTGCACTCTCTGCTACAGGAAACGAAGAGCTTGCCATAATGGTTGTTACGGTCTTCTTGATGTTCAATGATTCTGATAATGTTTACACACAAGAGCGACCACAAGAGCATGGTTACTACTGCGCATGAGCAGAATATTATTTGCAGAAAAACTGGAGTTAGACAGTAGTACGCATGAGCAGACCATTATTTGTACGCAGTTATTTGCAGGTCACATGATGGGCTCCCAGCCAATGAAAATGGGGGAAAAAATCCATTGAATGATAACAAAAATTCACTTCAGTAGACCTGTTAGAGTTCCTTATTTTGCAGCCAAAATAATGATAAAAAATTACCATAAAACAAAACAAGACACAAACAAATCAAGCTTGGAACAAAAAGAATAGCCAGCTTTCTTTTCTGAAATATTTTATTGTACTGGTTCATAGAGGTTTCATTTTCCTATGATTTCATTATATAAACCAGTTTAAGAAAATACTTGAAATATGACAACAAAGACAAAAGAACATCTTAATTGTAGTAATACTACACTCATAGGGTATACTTTCANGACACTCACAGGACAAAAACACATTTTGGTCCTAATTAGAGAAAAAGTGATCCCTGACCCTTGTATCTGTTATCTTAATTGAATGGAAACTACTCAGGCGACACTTTTTCCAGTCCTGAGGATGTTTTATGACCACAGGTTTCACTGAAGTATATCACCTACTTCAGAGGGATAACATTTGCGAGACGAAAAAAGAGTAAGGAAAATATATTTTTTTGTCGCTTTATTGGTACTATGTCCTCGCTCTCTAGTACTTAAAAGCCTGCAACAGACTGAAGGTTAGCTAGAAGTAACCAGACTTAGTACCGTCATCTTATCGTATCCTTGGTTGAGAAATTCTCCACATTTCTCCTCATCCCCTATTGAGGCAAAAAACTTCGACCACCAATCTAGGGACTCCTCTGGGATTTCTTCTTTCTTTTTCTGAAACAGAAAATATGAAGCAAAGAAGATCTCGCAAAGAACTTCAAATACCGTAGCACTTGGGCAGGGTGACTAGTAGGACCCATGGAGTACCGTGCCCCTCTCTTTATGAAATATTCTTGCAATTTAGGTTTGCGAGAACGCGTAAATCTGAAGAATCTGTACGACATAGATCTTTTCCAATGCTAGATACCATACAGATACTGGTCCTTCTCGTCGCGTGAATCCGACTTTGCTTTTACACAAGATAAAGAGGGGTTTAGGTGCACTTTAACATCAAAATGAAATTATACAGAGAAAAATCAAACCACACAAAAATAAATCATACCAGTTCTGCTTTTATTAATTGAACAATTTTTACAAAAAATTATATTAGCTCAAGTTAGGGTTACCAACATTACACATGGTACTTGTAAGAGTAACAATTGGACATTCATGTTGTTAAGACTGTTTGTAGACACATGAAATTAATACAAAAGAAAAGAAAAGACAAATTTTGGAATAAAATAATATGTTGGCCACTATAAAAAGCGATTAAACACTCACTTTCACTTGTGTTACATCTGCTCCCACACTGTGTACCACACCAGCACCATCAGAACCTGGGGTATAAGGCAAAGCTGGCTTCCTGGCATAAGTTCCACTTCTTATGTAGGTGTCAACAGGATTGATTCCAGCTGCCTTAATTTTTACTAAGACCTGAAAGAGGGTGGCAATGGGTTTTTACGTGACGCGTGACTTAAGGCCAAAATTAAAATGTCACGCGTTAAGTTTACAGAAAGGCGAGCGTGATTGGTGATTTGTGAATTTATGAACCAGCGTGACGCATGCCTTGCTGCCAAAAAATATAAGTGACCCATGAAAACCTTAAGATTTCCCTAAAATATTGAGCATATGATGATAGATCTGAAGTTTTCCCTTTAATTTATATGCGTTACGCGTGAATTTTTCTTAAACTCGTGCATGAAACGCGATCAGAGCTCCTGACCCTAACCCCTTTTAAGAAATGTTTATAAACCACAATTTATCTCGATATGCATGATGAAGTGCATTCTTCTACACTTTTTGATTACTGTTTGCTTTTAGAGACCAAGACTTATTACAGAGATACATGTATCACCTTCCAATCTTCTAAATGTTTCTGGTTCATTCGAGTCAGACTCTCGTATCAATTAACTGTATATAGAACACGTGCCTCCGAACATAGGGGAACAAATAAAGAACGAGTGTAAGATATGGAGTAGCACTCATTTCAACACCTATTCTCTTGAAGTCATTTGGATCAGAAAAAAACAAAAAAAGAAAAAGAAAATAGTATTTGAACGTTTACCTGCCCATTGGAAACACTTGGAACCTGCACATCCGACATGAGCTTAAGTACTTCGGGCCCTCCGAAGGATAGTACGCGAATCGCTTTCATTGCGGATAAAATTCCACTAGAGCTTCTTTGATTCTATTTTATCTGAATTACCTAATGCTTCTTTTCTACCATGCAGTATATACCAAGGGAGTGCTAAAAACTCAAAACAGCTAGGCTGCCTCTGAATCGTAGCACGACCGACAAACAGACTGGTAACTAGAGCGTAGTCCATAACCGCCGGCGAAAGAAAGTTCCCGGACCCGGCTGAAACTGGGTGTCATGTGGTACAACGTGCTCTAAGATGTGCTTACATTTGAAATTAAGCCTGTACAACTAAGTACCGCATAGGATTGACCTCTACTGTTCTCTGGTTCCTACGACAAGGTCAAGGTATGGTGCATCGCCCTTAGGAACTGAGAAGAGGATATCGCAAGAACGCCGAAGGGCATTGTTTATGAGATTTCCATTTCTCATTGCCTTGGCCCCAATTTTCTTCAAGTTATCTCTTCATACCGCGATGGCGCGTCACTTTTGGTGTGATCATATAGTTTTCAAGGGGAAAGGGAGAGGAGTCAGTCGTCGCCAGCAGAATATAAGAGGAGACTATAGAAAATTGACTATAAAAGAAAAGGGAATCAAGAATATTACAGAGCCCTGCTGGAGGATCAAGTAAATTTTATCGCGACACGACCAAAACCCTCCAAACTAGGTAGAAACAGTAAAACTACAATAAAATAAAAAATTTCGTCAAAACATTGACTATATTGTTTATGCCATACACTTTTTTGTTTGTTTTTTGTTTTTTTGTTGTTGTTGTTGTTGTTTTTTTTTTTTGTCGTCATGTTGGTGTAATTCCCCCCATTATTTATGCATGTTGCACAACGACTCTAAAACTCAGCTGTGGCACTTCTTGTTTCCTCCCAGCCGCGTTTGGCTGTAATCACTTTAGATGACATGCATTCTTTGGGCCATAAATAAAGAGTTCAAACAATTCTAATGAAGTCTATCGGCATGGTTTTGAAAGTTTACACTACTTTCTAGTGGTGCACTAAGGGAATATTCTTCTTGTAATTTCTCAGTATACATACTCACTTATAGGCTATTAAGCATAGAGAAGAAATAGAAGATATTCTTGTAATATTTGCGATAATCCATTCGCAAGTGTTAGAGAAATTATGGAAATCAGTTATTTTTCTCTGAACTGGATCTTAATATTTAGTTCTTATTAACCGAGCGGGAGGTCTGTATGGGAGAATCTTGACCGAGGTCGCCAGTAGAGACCTAACGCAGTAAGGTCTGTNCATGTTCTCTTCCCCATTTAATGGCAGGTATCATTGACAGATCGGTACAATCTAAAATTCGCTCAAGAAGAGGTGTTACTTTGCAATTTGGCTTTCTTTTTCTAAGAATTGTTTTTGTCTTTGTGTATACTTCATGAAAATGAGATGCAGTTATTCTACCTTTTCTTTGCTCTTTCCATATACTGGAGTTAGCCTGATCCCTTGTGGCCTTTTCTAATTCTTTAATGCTACTGTCATTGAAAGATAATTGTTCCAGAAATTGTCTCACTAATTCATCAGCATCTACACCATTGTTTTTAGAGGATATATCATCAGCTATAATTTGTAGTGATGGGGGAACATCATCAGAAGTTGGTGGTGCATATGAAATATGGATGACAGCATCAGGATTTATGTTTCGAAGAGAAGCTAGAAACTTTTGCTTGCTTTCTTCGGTAACAACCCTCAAGGATTCTGGCCGAGGATCAAAGTTCTGTTTTTCCTTGCTATTAATAGCATAACTTGGGTTTTCTTTGACTACCTTGTGGCTTTGGAACACCATGTCCTTTAATTTCATGGGTTGGATGTCTTTCTTGCTAGTATTATTCCACACACATGCCTTATCTGTGCAGGAAGGATCTGTGAAACCTTTCTGGTTGGCAAACTCAACTTTATATAAAAGGGCTATGACATGATTACAGCACTGACTGTATCCAGCTGTACAGCTACAATATGCCCCAAGAATTTCACCGGGAGATTTACAAATTATCCACACTTTATGAGGTTCTTCGCGAATTCTTTGAGATGGAGTGACAGATGCAAACAACAGAACTTTGTCTTGTCCATGAATTGTTTTTGAGTATACAGTGTGCACAAAACCACTTTTAAAGTATGAATACGCTTTTCTGATTTTATATTGACCAATATAGTCAGTGTCGAAAGCTTTTTTTCCAAGTATAAACGAGAATATTTGACCAATGTTTGTATGCGGCCACTTTGTTACACAGTCCTCCCAATCGACCATGGATAACGGATCCTTTATACCGCATGTGCGTAGTAGTTCTACATGTTCATTTTGTAGTGACTTGGCTTGGCTTTCGGCCGAATCTCGAATAGGCGTTTTATGTTCAAAAGCTACCAAAGCACGAGCAGCAAGATCCGAGTGTGTCCCTCCAGAGGGCAAACCTCGCTGTTTAAGATAAAACTGCAATTCCCCACATGAAAGTTCCAAAAAATCTTCGAGGTGCGTGGCCATGATCGTGTTGTTGGGATATTGAACTGTCAACGACTTTTGAGCGAGATGGCAATAACATAAAGAGCTCAAAATGTAGCTGTGACTTCTATATTGAACTATAAGTATTCAGATCGAGCAAAAGAGTGTTGTTCGTATCCGCCATTTTGGATTTGCTTGCCCTAATTACCCAGCATGCACTCAAGAGCGTGAACCGGTCTATTATGTTATACAAGCAAGTCCTTCAATTAATTGTCATTCAATTGAGCAATCAAGTGTGTCGTCGAAAACAAAGAAGACATCGCAGTTTTATTTACATGTTACGTGCTCTCAGTCGTGGTGGGAGCCGAGCTGCGCGGAATACGAGCATCCTCAGTCCTACATGATCATTTTGGGGAATTGTTAATCCTACAAGATTTGATTAATTCGTCAGTGGAAATCACGTGAGTAAATTTTCCATGAAAGTAGGTAACTGATGTGTTTTATCACAGAAGCGTACTTAAAGCAGTATTAATTTAAACAACAGTGTGTACCAAACTGCCTGAGGTCAGTTGAGGGAACAGAATCACAAAACTCACTATTACACTTGATTCAGACGGCAATGTTCTATGACAGTAATGAGATAAACTCTCCAACGTTGTTTATCGCTCCATGCCGACCCGAAAACACCCCAGTTTCCTCACCAATTAAGGAAAAGTTATTGAAGCTTGAGTCTGGCACGTTCACAATAATTATAATTTTTTCCTAGAAGCTGTTCAGTAATGAGTTTCCCTCCCTCGCAACCACAAAAGCATCCTTCGAGGACTTCATCTAGAGAGTCAAGTCCAACGAGTAGCCCAAGATTAGGTAAAAGAAACAGCTTGAGGGGTACCTCATCTCAAATACCAGTGAGAAAGGATCCTGGAACACTGGCGAACAAAGCCAAGCCGGCACCGTTACTTAGAACCAGATCGCGTGATTTTATGGACGCCGTAAAGAAATTCGAAGGAGGAAAGCTTCCCGAGAAACTCATGAAGACTGTCGACGAGGAAAGAAAAGCCATCGGTGATCATTTGGCACAATGCGAATACGATTTGAGGGAAATTAGAGAGTTTGTGGCTCATACACAGGATGACTTTCAAAAGATCCGCGCTCAGACAAGAAAATTAAAGAATGGGGTAAATGAGCTCCGTGATTTAAATAAAATGGCGTTAAGGCGGAGTTGACTTGGAAATCGACGAGTTAAACGTTAATACCGTGTTCAAATCGATGAGTTAAACGTTAGATACCGTGTTAGAAATCAACCATGAATTTCTGAGTGAAAAGGGGCAGATTGGAGTTGTGTTAGGCAAACAGACCTCTAAGTATTTATGGAAATGATATGGCCGGTTTATGCATGCGAACCTTGTTTACTTAAAATAGAATTAATGTTTTCAAAAAGGAAAGGAAATTTGCCATGATTTGTGACCTAACTAATGAAATGCTTTTGAAAATTAAGATTGATATAGTCATCAGACATTTGCAAGTTACGCCAGAGGTCAACTTAATCCAATTTTTACAATAAGTCGACTCAGAGGAACATTTCGAATTTTCTTTTTACTTGTTAACTTCAGAGAGAAGGGTTTCTGCATGTGCCGTAATTTGCTCACTGGTTCATATATTCGCAATGGTGTTAAGGAATTGCTGATATATACGGTCAAGATTTCTCACAAGGTTGAAATTATACCTTTATCATACTTTAGGCTGTTTCATTTTTGAATTGTTAAAGAGCCACAAAAAAGATTTCCAAAAGGTAACTATAGAAGTAAGGGAACCTGGAATGTTTTAAAGCAAAGAAAGCACAGCTAGTTAATGTCAAGTTAAACATTGTTTTATTTCTTACTTCTTACGACAGTACATTTTTTTCAAGCATGTCATTTCAATTGTAGACAACTTTATTGATTTCTTTAATCCCTGGAAGCAATGGCGAGTTACACAATGAAAGATATGGGAAGGAGAATGTTCATAAATAACAAGCAGAATAAGTAAACAATTTGTAGTTTCTTGTTGTTTTACTTGTCTTTATGGAGTTTGGGAGTTTAAAACTTAAACAACCATTGGTTCTGGCCAAAGGACCTGTTGACCTTGTTAGACGCGAGTTATGATTTTTGATATTTTCAAATAGACAAAACGGATTTTGTTTTTCAAAGAAAGTGCAACACATCTTGTTCAGATTATAGATACGTGGAGAGACGATTTATCATATATTATGTACAGACCAAGAGAAAAGTATCTTTTATATTATTCAAAACTGCACTTTACCTTTGAGAGAATTCAGATTACTCCTCGCATCGATCAGTGGGTTCTGAAAACAGATAAGTTTGTTATATTTTGCCCGTTTCGTATAACTTTTTGAGATTGTATAATTATATTACAGAGTGGATTAATAAAATTTTCAGAATTATGAAAATATAGTCTAAAGGTCATGTAAAGTAATAACGCTTTAAATTTTTTTTATAGATCTAATGAAATGAAAGAATATGGAGGGGGCGGGGTGTATATATTGTAGTTCAGTTTTATTCTTGGTTCAAATTTTATTTTCCTTTGTTTCAAACTCATTATCATACATTAACATGACCGAGAACAAAGGAAAATAAAATTTGAACCAAGGATAAAATCGAACTACAACATATACC